ATGTGGTTAAGGGCTGATAGTCATTTGCCCTAGGGTTGTAAAGTGTCCTGGATATTTTAAGTGGTGATTATAAACTTAATAATGGCAGGCACTCTCATGTAAACAGTATAGCTTATTCTGAACATTCAGGATTATTTAATACTATGTACAGTTTTAACCCCAAACACTAAAATCTCATATAAGCTTTAATATGTTAAAAAAAACATTTCAAAAGTTTTTTTTTAATTTACACCTTTCATTAAAGTGTATGTAAACTCTGACAATGAGCTTCTCTTATTTGGTCCATTTTGGCCTTTTTAAATATAAGATGGAAAGCACTTTGTTATACAGCATTTGTTTGATAAGTTAAAAAAATATCTTGCTAGAAATATTGTGGGCTGTTAACTTCCTGTGTTCTCTGTCTGTGCTAGCTAATGTCAATTACATTGTTGTTTGAGAACTATGAATCTGCACCCTCTGTATTAGAGTCAATACAAGATAAGGAGGAGTTCCATAGTCCTATCTTGTTTCTGTAATCCTGATACAGAAGGGTGAGTGAGCGTTGCCTTTCTAGGACTGCAAGTGCGTTACTGGCAGAATCACCAGGTGGAAAAAAGCCTTAAACAGAAAACTATTGCAGCCGTCACATATAAAGACTGCTAAATTACTTTTTCATTTCTGGGATAGATACACTTTAAAAAAGTTTAGGGTGATCCCACTATGAATGTCCTTAGGCAGCTGGAGACATCTGCTGCCCTCTACTGTTAGCTGCAAAGTTTTATGTATATATTATGTATTAGCATAGAGAGAGAAAGTCTCAGCCATATGTCCTGTCTATGCTGTTAAATCCAGGGCCAAAAAGGACTGTTATGTAATTATTGCTTTGTCCTAATAGTTTTAACTGCAGCTCTCCATTGCTTCTTAAGTGTGTATCTGGATCCTTGTGATAGACAGAGTATCTCTGCCTTATTGTTATTATCTCTTATGCACAGTGCCAGATAGCTATGTCCATCAGCCTACATGCAATACTTGACCAAGAAAGAAAATCTGACATCATGGGAACCCAGATCATGACATCAGATCCTGGGAGGCCACATGGCTATATCCTTTTCCCGCCTCCCAGTGTCTGACATCCCAACCTGGGTTCTCCTGCTATCAGATTTTTTTCCTAGGTCAAGGATTCAATGTATGCTGATGGATACCCTTCCCTTCTTGGCCTGGACTCTGATTGTTTTGTTCATCACTGTCATCTGATGACAGCTTTGGTTTATTACAGGAGCTATATATCTGAAAACATGTTTTATTAATAAAGACATAGTGTGCTGCACTTAGATTGCACCCTTTTGTGTCTTTTTGTGTTACTACAGATACTCATTCTGTCTACTGAGGTGCTGCACTACAGTAAGTCCACACAGAAGCCAGCTGATTTAGCCCTTAACCGTTTCAATACCGGGCAATTTTACACCTTCCTGCCCAGGCCATTTTTCAGGTTTCAGCGCTCTCACACTTTGAATGACAATTGCGCGGTCATACAACATTGTACCCAAACTAAAATTTTAACATTTTCTTCACACAACTAGAGCTTTCTTTTGGTGGTATTTAATCACCGCTGGGGTTTTTATTTTTGCTAAATTAACAAAAAAAGACCAAAAAATTTTGAAAAAAAAACACATTTTTCTTTGTTTCTGTTATAAAAGTTTACAAATAAATAATTGTTCTTCATAAATTTAGGCCGAGATGTATTCTGCTACATGTCTTTGGTGAAAATAACCCAAATTAGGATGTATTATTAGTTTGTAGGAAAGTTATAGAGTTCACAAACTATGGTATAGATCTGAATATTGATCAATCCTGATTTACTGACAGCCAGTCTAATATCTTGAGGTCCAAGAATGTCAGAACAGTACAGATATCCCCCAAATGACCCCTTTTTGCAGAGTAGACAGTCCAACGTACTTCATAAGAGGCATGGCGAGTTTTTTGAAGTCTTGTTGTATTTTTTTGTCATAATTTTTCGGAAAATGAAAAAATTAAAAAAATTATTTTCACAATTTTTTTTTTACATACTGTCACCAGTGCAGTACAGCGTCATCATATAACTGGCATGGCGGTGTGAAACAGCGACACTGACTGGTGACAGTATGAAAAAAAAAAAAAATATATATATATTTTTTTATTTTTTTTAAATTTGTTTATTATATTTAATTTTTTATTACTTTTTTTTTATTTTTTTAAGATTTTATTTCATATTTTACTATGACCAAAATAGTACAATGTTACCATAGTAACACTGTACTACTTTGGGGAAGTGATCAGTATTTTTTTTTTCAATTTGCTTATAGCAAAGAATTACTTTGCTATAAGCAAGCATTTACCTGAATGAAATCGATTCATTCAGCTTTTCTTTTTTTTTTTGTGCTTAGCTGTGATTTGGTCACAGCTAATCACATGACATGTGCATGTGATTAGCTGTGCCCATTCACAGCTAGGCACTAGTATACAATGGATGGCATCATGAATGAAGCCATCCATTGTATACAACTGTCACCTGCTGTGATTGGTCACAGCAGGTCACTTGGTACCGGCAACGGGAGCCGGTACTCGGATCTGTCATCGGCCGTGTCCGAGGTACGGGCGGTGACAGATCGCACTGCTGCGTCGCTCTACCACGAAGCATGTTGCACGCCAAATGGCGTGCACCGGAATACAGGAGCACACAAGCAGCCAAGCCATTGGCCGGGCGGCCCTTAATATGCCTATTATGGATATAATGAACTGTTCAGCTAGGACTTTGGCATATAGAGCCCATCAATTACTCTTTACATTATAACGTTCTTTGGCTATTTGAAGGTGGCCCTGTTTTTTTCAATATAGTTTATATATCGCTAGTTTAGGGCTCAATAACCAGCACAGGCTAGTGATAGGTTAGGCATCTGATGGCCACTTCTGGTAATTAGAGGTCCAGTTGTATGACAGATTAGAAACTACTAGGGACTAACACGTAGAAAAAGATAGGCAACTCTGAGTACCGGTGCCATACCACAGTTTCTGCTGGTGAAAAGCCTTGTTGGGCCTCACTGCTAATAATACTTGTTTGCATGTTTGATGTATATACTATTATTAATATTTTCTTATATAAAGCTTGTATTATCATACATGTGTGCATCTATACACTTATGGCAAATGTTATTTTCAGGTTACTCTTCATTTCCCAGGAAGAGAATCCTCTCTGTCCTGCGTGGAGGCACTACTTAGCGAAGGTTATGGTTATTTTATTTATCCACAGGTTTAGTGCAATATCCAGTTCGTGGAGGGCCATTTGTCATACTGCACCCCCCAAAAAAAAGGGCTACACAGGCACTTCCTGTTATTAGGTGACAACACTCTTTGGCATAGGCCATATTGTTACCATCAAAAAACCTGGCCAGAGAAATACCATGCAGCTAATATTGGGGGACATGCAAGTAGACAGGAAGAACATAGTTGCAAAGAGCCTGCAGAAAATCAGTAGTATTAGTATCACTAGTAGTAGATGCAAGGAAGTTTGAAAAAAAAAAAAAAAGAAAACAAATATTTTATTTAACCACTTCCAGACCAGTGACAAACTGGACTTTCCGTGGTTGTACCGGAGAGATTCCTGCAGCTGTAGGCATTACCCCGGTACCGGTTTTTAGAGTCGGCAGTCGGCTCTCCTGTATAAGCAATTGGAGTGGCTACTAGCCTCCCACCACTCTCTCAAGATCTCCCATCCCATTGGGAGTCCCGAGTGACCAGCCAGCGCGTCCGCCAGCTGGCCAGACAGCTGAACAAAGCCAGAATCGACTTTGATTAGCTCTCCTTTAGTGTAAATTGAAAGCAATGACCTGTCATCACTTCCTGTTTATTTGTAAACTTTCAGCACCATTTTTAAAAATCTAAAATCATTCAGAACCATTGGTTTTGGTGTTTTGAATACTTTCAAGTGCCCAGGAGGGATTTGAGGTCTCATACATGCCAGATCCCTCCATAAAAATACCTGTCATGTGTCCAGTGCTGTCACAGTATTAAAAGTGATAAAAAAATTTTTAAGTGACAGTGTAAAAATACAAAAATTAATAATTAAAAAAAAAATGTAAGTGCCCTGCCCCCCTTGAACTCCCATGCAAAGGTGAAAGCATGTGTCAGTCCCACATGCATCCAAACAGCAATTGTCCCACACATGTGAAGTATTGCCACGATCATCAGATCATGGGCAGTAATTCAAGAACTAGATTTCCTCTGTAAATCTAAAGTGGTAATCTGTAAAGACTTTTAAAGCATTGCTCATGAATAGTAAACTGTACACTGTTTGTCGCTGTTGCACGGGCATGCGCAAATTTAACCGCTTCTGTTAAATAAGTCAGTTCCCCCGCAGTCCTGCAGTCCCGCTATAAAAATAAATTTTCACGTATTAGGATTTTTTTTTGTAGCAGAATACTATTCGGCCTAAATATATGATGAAATTAGATTTTTTTTATTTTTTTACTGGACATGTTTAATAGCAAAAAGTCCAAAATATTGTTTTTTGGTCAGTCTTTATAGCGCAAAAAATAAAAATCGCAGAGGCAGGACGTAAATTTAATTTGGGTGCAGCGTTACATGACCGCGCAATTGTCAGTTAAAGTAACGCAGCGCCACACCATACCGTAAAAAAAAGGCCTGGTCGGGAAGGGGGGTAAATCCTCTGCAGGACAAGTGGTTAAAGTGTGACATGTTTTGTATCTGTTTACTTGGTGTAACATCATCTTTTATATTTTACAAAAAAATGGGTTATGTATTGTGTTTCAATTCTGTTATGCTTGACATCTACTCATTTATAGAGTATTAAAGGCAATACGATGCAGTGAAAATTCTATTTCTTCAACAGTATGGTGGCTGATGTGCTTGGGCACAGCGATTCAACAACAAATTGTCCTAATATGTTATTTTTAAATGTTGGCAGGTATGATATTAGATTGACATTAGCAGAGCATAGTGTAAGCTTCATCAAAATTTGACGGTATCAGATCTATAGTGATACTCACTGATCCATCAGAGGCACTTGCTCCTACTTTGTCACCTCTGGCATTCCAACACACTTCAAATATTCCTCCTGTTCCCCTGTAGCTGTGTACTAGAGAGCCATTCTGGAAGAAAAAAGCAGAAATATCATAAGTGAATTTTTAACTCCAGCCATAATAATATATTTAATATATAATATAAAATAATACATTTGACTGGTAGACTTACCTGAGTGTTCCATATATGGACACATTTGTCAAAGGACCCGCTAGCCAGATACTTTCCATCGGGACTAAAGGCTACACTATATACTGGTTCTTGATGTTTGGTTAATGTATGGATACAGACACCACGCTCAACATCCCAAAGTCGGACTGTTGAATCAAAAGATGCACTGTGACATGAAAAAGAAGAAAAAACTAAAATCAGGAACTTTTGTATTTTGTATTATATAAAAAAAATCTTCAATACTACATAACTAAAATATACTACATAACGAATTTGGCAGGTTCACTAATGTGTTCTGATTATAAAGTAAATCTGTGCAGGGACTATGCTTACTAATGTATTTACATATTCTGAACAAGAAGTAGAAACACTGTAAAACAAGCTCTTACTGACCTCTGTATCTATAGGCATTGCAGAAAAAAATAATTTTCACATTTCACAACAGATGCATTGAAATATTGAAATGAAATTGAAATGAAAGTTTTTTCTATGAAAGCAGATCTTGAAAAGGCTGCCAGTTCTTTAATGTAAACAACCAGCAGATGTTATTAAGCTGTTAGAAACCGACTGAAACCCATCTTTAGAATGTTTGGGGAGCAGTGTTCCCCTTAAAATTCATACCAGACCCCTATCCAGGCATGTGGCCTTGGTGACCAGGAAAGGGAGAACAGTGACTGTGGCTTCCCTCCTTTCTGAACCAAAGTAGGCCTTCAATATTGGGAGGATACCTTGCAAGGGGGGAGGGGGCACGGTAAGCCTGCCCTTTTGCAAGGCACTTGTCCCTATGTTGAGGGCTTCCCCTCATATCCTGCCCACTAGAATGGATATGGGGATTAGTGGAGGGTACTTATCAAAATGGAAAGCTCCCTTTATAGATACGTTGTCCTCCAGTGGAATGAGTATGGGGTACATTAGAAAAGATCCCAGAAAAGAGTTAAAAAACCCAAAACAAAAAAAAAAATATATTGCAGCTTACCAGTCATTAGATGTGGTGGCTGCATTGGGTTTCTTTTCTTAGGCTTTTTCCCCGTTTTCACCTGGTGATCTAGCCAGTAACACACCTCCTGTATTAGAGTGCCCTCGTTCTGAATGAATGAGCCCAGGGGCACAGCAGACAGCAGCATTGTTAATCTGGGCAGAGGGGATTGTTGAAGCCAATCTCCAGACAACAGTTTATAAGCAGTTACAGCAGGGGTGTAACTACAGGGGTCATAACTGCGACCCAGCACCATGCTGTAGGGAGCCCGTGCTGCCTCCCTGCATGCCTGGAGTGGAGAAGCTGCAGAGATGACTGCATACAGAGGAATCAATCTCTCCATGTTCCTCCTTTAGCTGCTGAATGCAAGCGCTTCCTCCTCTCCCTCCCACAGGCATTCAGCCACTGCAGGAGGAACATGGAGGGAGTTATTCTTCTGTATGCAGACGCCACCACTGTTCTTCCTATCCAGCTTCTTTCTGCTGTCCCCTATGCTCTGCAGCCCCCATGCCCTCTGGCCCCTGTGCTCTTCAGTCCCCCAGTGCTCTCCAGCTCCCCCTGTTCTCTGACTCAGCATTCTCTCCAGCCCCTGTGCTCCATGGCCTCTGCGCTCTCCGCCCCTGTGCTCTTTCTAGGCCCCCCCTCCCCCAAATCTCTGCCAGGCTCCCCCCTCCCCTGTTGGCTGCTGCAGGGGATCTGTCAGGAGGAGAGTAGGAAAGGGGCCAGTAAATGTGTCATTTAGCAGCCCCTTCCTTTTTCTCAATGAACAGTCAGTGATCGGTACTGTTCACTGATTCTGTCCATTCACAACTGAAACAGAGTAAACTGTGTTTACTATGCTTCAGTTTATGAATGGAGATGCAGCTCTGTACAGAACTATTTCTGTCCATTCATTCTGTGCTGCTGAAGATGCAGAGAATGAGATTGAGGGCTGTGTCCTTAATCTCCTTTCCCATTCCCAAAGGTGGAACATCAGAGGTCTGTTTAGACCCCTGATATTTCACCAAATACCTGCAACTGTAAAAAATAATAAAACAAATAATATTGTAAAAAAAAAGAAAAAAATGGTAAAAATAAATAAAATAGCTACTGACACCAGTGTCACAATGGTCGCACTTGCGACTGGGCCCTGGCATTCTGCCACCTGGTTCAGAGGAAACGGCCCTAACGGGGGGGGGGGCCCTCCATGATTTCTTGCACTGAGGTCTTGACGGTTCTAGTTATGCCACTGAGTGACAGCAACAGTTTCTTTCTTTTGGGATAAAAGTTTTACCTAAATAAATAAAAGCTGGTCATTTTAAGCACCACTGCCAGTGCTAAATGGTCTGTTTCATCCCTGCAATTGTAACCGCCCGCTCCTTAACAACCACAGCTATTCCAATAATTTGGATCAGTCTGAAGTTATACCGAGTGGATGAGAAAACGTTTCTAATCCACCCAGTATAAAGAATGAATAAACGAACCAAAATGACACAAGAAAAAACGAATAAACAAAATGATCAACTTAATGAATGTATCCGAAACAAAACAAAATGAAATTTTCCAGAGTGCACGTCTAGATGCCATTTGTCCATTTAAAGTATGTAATATTAGATGTGTGTGTAAATATATTTACTGTATTTACTCCTTATACTCTTGCTGTTAAATTCATCAGTTCTGGAAAGAGGGTCATTCTTTTATAGATCTCACATTAAGGTCTCCAAATAAATATAGTACCAAAACTGTCTATTAGGTATTCTTGATGATGTACAGCTCCCTAAATAGTGCTTAGTGCTTCCCCAAGGAAAAAGGATGATGAATGCAAATGTACTTATCTATAAACTGAAATATTAACTTAGAGACAAATCACAACACTTTGGCCAAATATGGGGCCCCTTGAATAGAATAGATCCTTAACTATGCTCCCCTCGTGAACCCCAGGTTATTCCTGATTGTAATTATTATTATATATATATATATATATATATATATATATATATATATATATATAGAGTACATTTTTCTTTTGTATACAGTGTTACCATGGCAGCACACTGTTACATATTTTAACAATCAAAAATAACAATGTACGGCAAGCCTATATATATTTGTTAAGTGTATGCAAGGATGGAAATGCATGTGTAAGGGCTCGTTCACACTTGGCTGTTTTACCAACGCTTGCTAAACGCCCCTATAGCGTTTGGCAAGCGTTGGTCCGGCGTTTGCGGAGTGTGTTTTTTAATGCTCGGCAAACGCTCTGCAAACGCCGCAAACGCCACACACGCTGAGCGTTATTAACACCCCACAAACGCCTATAATGCAGTTTGAGTGGTGTTACCGCTCCGCAAACGCCCCGCAACCGCGTCGCAACCGCACCGCAAACGCAGGCCGGGCGTTTGCAGAGCGGCACCATGGACGAGAATAGGAGGCTTCAACGCCTCCTGACTCGACCAGAGGCGCCCGTTTTGCCGCGACGCAACGCGACGCGACGCAAACGCTCCCGTTAGAACAGCACCATGTGCTGTAATGTGCAGAATTGGCAGAGGCGTTTGGGAAGCGGTAAAAACGCTTCCCAAACGCCTCTCTGCCGCCTGCACACAACGCTAGTGTGAACGTAGCCTTATAGTGTCATATTTAGGTCTGATTAGTCAAATGTTGCCAGAAAACCTGATTTGAGTTAAACCTTGCATAAAATTGTACAGAATGTAACCCTAATGCAAAATTTTGCTGTTTGGTCCTAATATTTGAGGTCAATCTGAGAATATTAACAATTGTGCAGAAAATTGTAACCTTATTTGAGTAACAAATGGCAGCTACTAAAACTAAGTTACTGATTTTTTTAAATATATTTTTTCATATGGCTATAAAACAGAATTGACAAATATGGCTATAAAAGCCATGACCAAGAAGAAAGAGTATTAAAACAATTTATATAGTTAATTGAATATTTTCTTTATAAACATTAAATGTAAATTATAATGTTTTTTGGTACATTTTAATATTTTTTTTTATTTATATGTTTTTTAACAATATCTTTTGTAACTACACACACACATACATATATATATATATATATATATATATATATATATATATATATATATACATACATATATATATATATATATATATATATATATATATATATATATATATATTTTTTTTTTTTTTAGATTTACAACTAAACATTTACTGCCTGAAAAAAAACATTCCCAAAACATTATGTCTTAATTTAAAAGACAGTATGGCAAAAATAGCTTTCTTTCAGACACAGCTGTTCTCATATATTTTTGTAATGACCTATCTGATAAGTAAAAAGTTATTCTGATACATCCAGTTCTGTATGAAAATGTAAACCTTGATCTATTGATCTCTGTAAATATTGGGATTTGTTAACAAGTGGAAGGTTGAGAGACTAATGAAGGTAGCATAGATCACCATTTGATGGCTGGATAGAAATAAATAATATTCACACAAAATAGCTCATATTAAATTAACTTACCTCAGTTTTAAATTTTTTTTATGGTTCTGACCATAATAATAAATGTACAAAACTACTATCTGTCCCATTTAGGTACTTATTGCTTTGTGACATATAAATATAATATTCTAATTCTAAGTTACCTTGCAAGCATGATGTTTGCGTTTGGGTTGCTGGTGCTAGGGCCTGTTGGACTCCATTTAATTGTGTAGATTTCTTTGTTGTGGGCCTGCAGGTCATGTACACATATGTCTTGTTTCATACTCCAGATCTACAGCAAATCATAAATAACAAAATAATATTTGGAATAGATTTCACAAATACATTTCATTGAAAAATGTACCACTAAAGCTGTTGCAGATAATCTCCCTTTCACAAGCTGTTCTCCTTTATAAAGCTGCTGTACACATACATCAGATACAAGGTGAAAGGTGTAATATCTCCTTGCTGACATGAGGAGAGAGTTGACTCTATCTGTGATTAAGGCCCTCATGGACAGCTGTAGGGCTTGTGTCAATCAGCAAATGTTTCTTTCAGATGCATTCTTCTAACATTTGAGATAAATGTAACTGCTTTACCCCCAGCTAATTCTGACATGTAAAATCAGTATTTTTTGCTAGAAGATTATTTAGAACCTTCACACATTATATATTTTTTGAAAGCAGAAACTCTGGAGAATAAAATGGTGATTGTTGCAATTTGTTATGTCACACGATATTTGAGAAGCCATTTTTAAAAAGCAAATTTTTAGATAATACACTTTAATGAATTGTAATGCACACAAACACAATAGAATACCTAATTTTCTGTAAAATATAAAACATGATGTTACACCGAGCAAGTAGATACCTAATGTCACACTTTAAAATTGCATATACCCGTGGAACAGCGACATGCTACAGTACTTAAACATCTCCACAGTTGACACATTAAATGCTTTTACAGATTACCAGTTTAGAGGTACAAAGGAATTTTGGAGCTAGAATTATTGCTATCGCTCTGATGTTCACGACGATACCTAAAATGTTTCGCATTTGTGTGTTAGCACAGGGGGACAGGGGCGCTTTAAATTTTTTTTAATTATTTTTTTTTTTTTAAACTTTTTTTTACACTGTCCCTTTAAATTTTTTTGATCAACTGTATTGCTATCTCAAGGAATAAACAACACATATTGTGATAACAATAATCATGACAGATCCTCTTTATTAATCTCTCTCTGCCCTGAAAGCATCTAAGCAAACAGATTAGTTTAATCGGATGTTGTATAAGCTGCTATCGTCTTATAAACATCAATTTGATATTGGAAGAAATCATCATCGCTTCCAGTTTCTTTTATCAGAGGATACGAATGTACGCATGAGCCTTCTAAAGGCGATGGGTGGTGGCAAGGGAGGGCCCTTCCATGCCATGAAGAGGCGATCAAAGCTGCTGTATAGCTGCTTGAATCCCTTTTACATCAATTCCCATTGTTTGCTGAAAATGTTGATACTGGGATGATGCCTACAGGTGCAGGCAACATCCAAGTATAACCACTTCAACCCGAGGGTGTGCTGGTTTGTCCTAATGGGTTCAAGTGATTAAGACACTTCTGATATCACTGAGCTAATTAACAGATGCATTTAACCTCCTTTTTAGCTGTTATTGCATTTTCATTGACTTGCATGGACAGAGCAGTGGTCCTGATGTGCACACGTGCTTGGTTACACAGGCCTTTATAATTATGGAAAGGCAGCTTCACAGAAGAGGAGAATATGCGCAGTACCTAACAACCTGAATGTCCAAGCCCAAGCCAGAGTAGACAGAAGAGCAAGTAAGAAACAGTGTCTAAGGATGGGCTCACTGCACATATTCTTGGTCACTGTTTGGAATCCTATTGCTATGTCATGTTTACTGGTCCTTTGTTCAAAGACTGGTCAAAGGTATATTCAAAATGCTATGTATCAACAACCCCTGTATTTAAAAAGCAAGGTATTATTTAAACTTGCACCACGTATTTACATGACAAAAAAATCTAACTTCTGTATGTCTGATGTGCCTCTTCTGTATTTCCTACAGGAATATATTTAGCAATAGCATTTTGCAGAAAACGCCTTAAGCAAATGTATTGTTCCAAGGAAACCATAAAATTAAATCACATGAAGATTTTTCACATTGTTCTTATTTACAGTTGAAAATATTTACTGTTATAGTAAATTAATATGTGTTTAAATATTATAAAAGTGGCACCTAAAAGACATGTAAGTGAGCATTCTTGTGTTCAGTATTAAACCACAGTTTCCAATTTTGGTTAAATGTGCTAACTTTTATTTATTTTGTTTTCTATAACCTTTAACTTTTATTTATGCTGGTTAAATATGTCAGTTTTTATTCATGCGTGTGTAAAGTTAGTGTGCCCTTCTCTGAAAAAGAATATTTCCTATGTTTCCAATAATTGGGTTTTAGTAATTTTGCAGTATTTATAATTGCGGCATTTTTAAAAAATTCTCTGTTTATTGGGTTTATAAAAAAACACAGAAAATACATTGTCACTTTAACCACCTCCCTGTCTGGCCATTGTATATAAACGGCCGGAGGGTGGCAGTGCATGGGTGGGTGGCTGTTTATAAACAGCCTCCCCGACCCCTGCTTGTGTGTGCTCTCTGGGAGCATGCAGCACCGCGAACCCGTGCCCGCTGTGTCCTCTGGACACAGTGGAACACCGATCGTCGTGTGGGACCTCTGTGCGAGGTCCCGATCATGTGATCACTGATTGGCCAATCAGTGATCACATGCAGAGTAGTAAGCAAGATGTCACTTCTGACATCATTACTTACTACGTGTGAAATCTGTGAATGATCACAGAGGCCACATGGTACAAGACTATTCAAAACAGCCTTGTATCACGTGACAAGCTGTGACCAATCACAGCTCACACAGTATTTCTCAATGGCTGCAAGAACACAGCCAGAGAGGAGAAATTATTGCTTTTACAGCCTTTATGGGTTTAAAAGCAATCAGTTTGAAAAAAAAAAATCTTCATCACCCCCCACAAGTAGTGTCACCATGGTGACACTGTACTGCTAGGGTGACAGTATGTAAAAAAAAAAAAACAAAAAAAACATAATAATATAAAAAAATAAAATAAAAATGTAAAAAAAAAAAAAAAAATTATAATTTTTGGTTATAAATTAATTTGGGTTATTTGTTTTTTTTAATAAAAAGATAACTGAATAAATGTTGGCAAAGATTTATGATGAAATATTGTGTATTTGCTAAATTTTATAAGAAAAACACTTTTTTTTTTAAATTTTTGGACTCTTTCATTTATATAGCAAAAAATATATAGCAAAAAAATAAAAATCCCAGCGGTGAATAAATACCACCAAAATAAAGCTTTATCTGTCTCAAAAAAAGCTAAAAAATTCATATGGGTACAGTCTTGTATGACCGCACAATTGTCATTCAAAGTGTGATAGCGCTGAAAGCTGAAAATTGGCCTGGGCAGGAAGGGGGTAAAAGGGTCCGGACTTGAAGTGGTTAAAAGGAAATAGTAGAACAGTGATAGCATACAATGCTGGAACAACAGAAGTCAGTGAGAACATAATAAGGCATAAGATGGAGTCAGCTGGTGGTCTAGTTCCCTGTGCTGGTCAGAAGCAGACTCCCTGAAGCCAATCTCTGCATAAGGGGATTATTGCAAACAAGGAGCAAAGCCTTGCCAGTGTAAGAGAATATGAAGTTTATCCAGTGAAACCATGTCTTTTTGTAAGCCTCCCCCTATTTGGAGCAGAGGGAATGATACCTGGAGTCTTCCACCCTTTGCATCTATAACTGAATGGAGGGGGATAGAAGATTTCCAGAATAGAAGGATGGAGGATTTGGAAGTGTTCAATAAAAATGGATAACTGAGTTCTTGTAAACTTTCAGGAGAACCTGTGATTCAGCCGTCAGCACATATTAAGCGAGTTTCCTGATTTTGATCAAAAGGGATCTTATTATAGGGCAGGACCAAAAGATGTGAAGCACTGATACTGAGTCCCCATGGCATCTCCAGTGTAATTTAGAGGAAGCAGGCTAGAGCTTGTGAAGAACTACAGGGGTTTTGTTCCATCTTGTGCAAATTTTATAATTATTTCCTGTTTGGTGCTAATTGATTTCATAAGAAATAGAGGATCTTGCACACTTGTCCAGGTATGAGAGTTAACTGGAGATCGTGGTCCCAGTGTTAAAGAAAAAGGGGGTTTTAAAACATCTCTGGGGTGAGAGTGGTGTAAACATTTGAGTAAGTACAGTACCTGTGTAAGTGGGCCGTGCCCATCACAAAGTGATTCAAAAGGCATAAGAGTGTGTCAGGGACACTCAGTATTTGGGATGTGTGTATCCACACCAATCAATATGGTAAACCAGGTGGTATGCTGTATGTTATTTTGCTAGGTCAGAAAGAGCTCAAGAACTTTAGGGAGGAAGTGGAGAGCCCTACTAAGTCTAGATTTGTTATGGGTCCAGACAAATTTAGAGAATTCAGAATTGGCTGATTTGATGAAAGAAGTGGGGAAGTGATAGGCAGGGTTGGGAGCAGATGTAAGAATTTTGGCAGGATGACCGTTTTGGGAATGTTCTAGTGCTCAAGTAGGTTTGAGAAGATGAGAGAAGGCAAATAGACTGTGCAGTTGCACTCAGAAAGTACAGTTTCTCCAGAGCTTAGGTAAGGCTTCACTTTACAAAGAATAGAATGAAAAAAAAAAAAAGCATTTTTGCTTGCAGATGATTAGATGATGGAAATCAGCAGAGCTTCTCCTCATATACTAAGCTGTGGAGTGCAACTACACTTGCAAAATGTACAGTCTGTTTGTCTTTAGTAAATCAACCCCAAAGTGTGTCTGAGGATTGGTGGCAGAGAGGTTCCCATGTACTTTTAGGCGGTAGAGGTCCATTTAATGGTGAAAATAGCCCCATGGTGATTGGCTGTTGTGCAGTGTTTGAAAGTTAATTTTCAATGGTGAGAGGTTGTCATAAGTCTTATATTCTCCCATAAGATTGGGAAGAGAAATAAGTGGACTGCTTGATCAGCCAGTGCAGTGAGTGTATAGGAGGGAGAGATCGGCTACACCTCTGCTCTGCCCACACGCTACACAGGGAGATACTGCACAGTTGAAGCTGGCCACAAAACTCAGAATGCTGTGTGCGGGGCACTAGAGGGACACTGCAACTGGGGGAGAAGCTTGAAGGCAGACCTTGCCAGCCCCGTGACACAGATGGATGCAGAGATGGGGGTGAACCCAGGCAAACCCCCTGCACACGGCTATGGTGAGTCCACCCCCTCACTCTAGTGTGAGCCCACTCTCTGTCATCCAGTGTGAGAGCAGGCTCCCTCTGCCTGGACGAGACATGTCATGTGTCATATGTGAGTCTGCTCTCTATTATCCTGTGCCCCCTTATATATTGTGCCTGGGTTGACTGCACTGGCTGCTCCCCCATGCTATGCCATTGTGCTGGAGGAGTGAAGTGGCACTTTTGTTGTTAGTACCAGTAGCACATATTGCCATACAAAATGCATATGGGCACTTGGTTTTTATGCACACTTTAACAAAGAGCACATTGGGGTGGATTTACTAAAACTGGGGAGTGCAAAATCTGGTGCAACTCTGAATTGAAAGAAATTACCTTCCAGATTTTTGTGTCAAAGCTTACCAGTATAAGCGGAAATAAGAAGCTAATTGGCTACCATGCACAGCTGCACCAGATTTTACACTCCCCAGTTTTAGTAATTCAACCACATTGTCTTGTCTTATAAACACAGTTTTGTTAATCAATGGTTTTGCACATAGCAGACTCGATCCTCCTCTTCTTGGGTCTCCCACCAACACTCTTGGCTCCTCCCCACCCAGTACCCCCACGAAAAGCCGTTTTCCATGGGGGCACTCCTGCGGGCTCACTTCTGAGCCTGGCTTCATCTAGTGACACAGACAGTGGGGCTTGGCCCCGCCACCTGGTCACTTGTCGCTGGATTTGATTGACAGCAGCGGCAATGGTATCATTCTGCTCAGTGAAGAGGGTCAGAGTTGGGAGAGCTGCAGCTCTCATGCATATATCTGGATCGACATTGAGCTCAGGTAAGTATAAGGGGGGTGAGGGGGGAGTCTGCTTAGAATGCATTAAGGTAAAAACCATTAAGGCCTTAAAATCACTTTAAGTACTATACAGTATAAGACATAGAAGTCTATACATCATAGCAGGAAGAGGTACACCTGAGGAGGCAAGAGGGAAGGAGGACTTTGATTCCAAAAGAGAGGCATTACCTGCAAAGGAGAAAGCTTAGCTCCCATTAGATGAGGTTCAGACATTAGACGTCTTTAGGTCAGCTACAAGGAGTACAAAATCACCAAAGATTTCTTCCTGACGAATCCAGCCATTTTACCCACCTTTAGGTTCTTACAAATACCGGCTTCTCTTAAAGTCTACCCATAAAATGTAATAAATCTTGTAAAGAATACAAGACCATGACAACAAATTATAGTTCAGAATTAAGTAGAAATCAGAAACAGTGCGGAGACTAGATCTCTCTGTGCTAATACATTGTAGATTCACAAACTGCTTTCCATCTTTTTTTTTATATGTCTCTATTCTCTGCTTTAATTGTTAAGCTATTTACCTTTAAGGTCATATCATCTGAACATGATGCTAGTAACATTCCTGATGGGTCCCATTTAATTGCATTCACTTCATTCTGAAAGAAAACACAGTTCTAAGTCGAAGGAAATACATCTGATATCCAGTGGAGGGCAATCATGCATCATTTTAGAATAGTTTATCCTTTATATACAACACTTTTCACAGAGCTCATTTCTAACCTCTCATCCTCAAACTAAATGTTTATTGCTAGGGAATAGCTTTCTAAAAATATATTGTTATCTTTTTCTAACATAAACTATTTTATATCTATTTGCAGCTCCAAGTAAGCATAATGAAACATAGATTAAGGTGTTGTTTTTTTACCACATCTGTAATGAGGTACTGTACTGCGGTAGCACTGAATTGTAAAGCCCCAGTTTTCTAAATGATGATGCCAGGTAAGATCAACACAATAGGAATACCAGCTGGCTGAAATGATATCTTATTATTACAGATGAGTGAGTCGGTTTGCTTGTTCTGAAGTTCAGCTCACATTGGATTATTGTGCTTGAGGCAGGTATATGAAAACATTTGGTGATTTACGCCAGAATAATTTTGCAACATTTTTACATTGTAGTAACTTTTGGCAGGATCCACCGTACTGCTATATAACCCTCGAAGTCTCCCTTGTGTCTTTCACATTGGTGAAACTGCCAATCAGGAGGGGTTGTGTCATCAGACAAAGCTTTGCCAGTGCTTATGTTTGCCAGTAAAACTAAAGACATATAAGTGCTGCTTACAGCCTTTAATCGCTAGCTACAATGCTTTTTCTTCATCATTATTTTCAGCACATTATTAGTGCATCACAGCGGGGATTTACTAAAACTGGAGCATGCAAAATCTGGTGCAGCTGTGCATAGTAGCCAATCAGCTTCTAACCTCAGCTTGTTCAATTAAACTTTGGCAATAAAACCTGGAAGCTGATTGGTTTCTCTGCAGAACTGCACCAAATTTTGCACTCTCCAGTTTTAGTAAATCAACCCCACTGTTTTATTAAGCTGTTCCCATGGTCTGTATGCATATATGTGGCCTTAGGCTTTAATGATGGGTGCATATATGAGTCCAAAGGGAACAGCTTTTTGTGCTGTGCTGAGCTCTGCATTCTCACTGTGCACTATCAGCACAGTAACTATATGTCATGGAAAGTTCCCAATGCGTACTTGTGATCAGAAGCTCTCCATGACTGCTGTTACAGCCAATCTCAGCGGTCACATAATTGGAATGCCTGCCTCCACTTTACATCTGCGCACATTACTTTTACTGTGGGCAGGTGACTTCCCCAGGCTCAGCAATGTACAGTAAATATACATTACTGAGCACACTGAAGTGCCCCCTGGGGCATGCAGCGCACAGCTCCCGTGACTGCTGTGTCCACTACTATGCGATCACATGATAACAATGTCAACAAAACTGTTATGAATGAATTTCATTCATAACAGCTGTGCTTCCTATAGTGATGCTGTGATTAGCCCACAGCTATCACATGGTACCTGGGCCAATTACAGCACCCGGTACAATGTGATAGCTGTGGGACAATCACAGCATCCCTAGAGTAAGAACAGCTATAAATGAATGAAATTAATTTATGACATTTCAAATAATTGCTGTTACAATGATAATCACTGTAACAACAGTCACAGTATATATTACAAGAATCAATGATAACCCTCAGAGAAGTACTGTGTCCCTGTACATTTAAACATTTTTTCTTTTTTTTAACATTTTTCTTTCTTTGTTTTACTATTTCTTTTACATACTGTTATCCCTACTCTGATAACATTATGTAAAATAAATAGTAAAAAAAGAAAAAAGTAAAAAAAAAGTATTATTATTAATTTATTTACATGCTGTCACCAGTCAGTATCCCTGATTACCCCCACACCAGTCATATGATGACGCTGTACTGCACTGGTGACTGTATGTAAAAAAACACTAATTTTCTGTAACTTCTTAATTTTCCAAAAAATTAATTAATCTCTTAATAAATACTGTGGACTATCTGGGAGGGGAGGGGGGTTGATTGGGTAACTTTCCCGTGGTCAAGTGGTTAATGAGCTGGGAGGCAGTGGCGGTAAGGGGTTAAAGCAGGCGTCATTGTTTTTGCTACTGTTTTACCATAATTACCATAATAACTAACAGGTCTTTCCTAACTGACAGTATTAGCTGTCACTAATTTTTAGAACTTCCTTTTTTTTTTATTACTGGATTATAATGTTCATACTTCCACTCCCTATAAAAAAGGTAAGATGTGGTCAGATAATGGATTGTTAAAGGAAACTAGAACTATACAAATTTTGTTTTAAAGCTGAACTTCAAGCAAACAGCTAAATAAACTCTTGAAATATATATAAGTATGGGAGCAGCTTACCTGAAAAAGAATGTGTTGTATAAATAGTATATATATATATGTATAAATTTATATAATTTATAATATATTTCTGTTCTCCAATCATGTGACATACACAGCTCTACGAGGCAGCACAGCCAAGACATGCTGCAGTTAAAGAGTTAGTTCATCTTAACAGAAAAAATGTAAAGGTGTACTAACATTGGACACCATTCCTACTTACCTTTGGCATTGCCAAGCTGTCAGCACCCCCGCAGCCACTCATGCAGTCCAGGGATTTAAAATTCATGCACTTCTCCCTTTTCTCTGTCAGCACTTTTTGTACAGACAGATGGATTCTGATTAAGCAGAACCAGTCTCAGTGAACAGAGCAACACAGCTAGGTCACCTTTCTGTGGTCCGCAGGCTGTGACTGGACATGGAAGGAGCAACAACAGGCTAATGAGGTAACCTCTCTGTTCTCTCCTCCTGTCAACATGTTCCTTTTTAGTGAATAGGAATGCAGCGTACCTGATTGGCCCCATGGGCTGCCTATTACTGTACCAGTCTAAAGGCTGCTATGCGGGGCATTACAAGAAGCTAAAATTAAGTCAAATTTAGGCATTTATGCTAGGTGCCTGTAAATTACATTTAATGATTTTTAAATAAGTATGTAATTGAATATATTGGTGGTTTTAAAGTTTGTCTGAAGTTCAGGTTTAGTTTTACAAGTTTTTAAACTGTTGCTTTATGTCTGTTTTACCATATACATGCAATCTTTGTTTTATAAATATCGAATACCTGACAAAGGTTACCTATAATGCTATGGGTTAGCTAAAGTGAAAGCCCAAAAGAAGCAGTCTGCCCCCAGGCAAGGATCATTTGCTTTAAACATCTGGACCTTTCTGATAAGGGATGAACCATTTCTATCATTTATCTTGAGCTACTGAGTTTTGTAAACAACAGGGTTTTTTCAGCAAAGCAGAAAGAATATAAAGTTGCCCCAAAAAACTACAGCTCTGCCTGCTGGCTCCAGCACAGAAGTCCCCTGTCCCTTGCATTGTTGAGCAGGCAGATGTCAGGATCAGCTCCTTGTAAGGTCCACTTGTGATGCTGCTGCTATCAAGCCAGAACTCTAGATTAGCTAGGGGGTTGATGCTGGAGTAAAAATTTTTTTTTTTCCTACCAGAATGCCACCTGAACAGCTCAATTAGCTAAACTGAGCTTCTGCATTGCAAATTTTGAGACAAAATCAGTTTTGTCAAAATTGCCCCCTTTTATTCCTATGGAAATCAGCTTAAAAAAAAAACTTGAGCAATGATGCCCAAACTAAATTTTTTTAAGATTGATTGGTCAAATCTGTTACTATTTGTAATCTGTCCTTCCTACCCATACAGTTAATGACCATTTTCATTAAATAAAGGAGAAGGTCTTTAAATAAATATAACACATACCCATATAACATACTGTATACTCTACACATCCACAGGGATAATTACTTCAGAATAGTCACATTAGTAGCTGCAATATTTTATATTAAACTCTTGTTTCCACTGGCACCTATCCTAAAGAAAACTAATTTACCAGAAAAACTAATTATCAGTTCTAGCTATATCAAGTTCTGCCTGACATTTATTAACAAATGATCCGTGTGCTAACAGATACAGAAAATAAATAAATTGGTTACCGTGTGTCCTTGAAAGGTTTTAACTGGACGGTCACAGCCAAGCCTACAAACATGAATACACATGTCTGTGCTACAAGATGCAAAGGTGGTATTGTTCTGCCAATCCACATCTAGAGCAGGAGCTGCAGATAAAATATAAAGGCATTGTATTATCTGTTTTAAAGTCCACAAATCTGAAAATATTCGGTACCTTTATTAAAAGGTATCCATTTGCACATAGATCTCTCTGGCAATTTGAACACCAAACTGATAAATATACTGTACTTTAATGCGCATGGGTCAAGTGAAAAAAGTATACCTCCAGGCAAAACGTTTTTTCACTTTTCAATATAATGGAGAGGATTACGCCCCCTGACTGGTTTTTACTACTATCCAGTGCACTGGTTTTCCTCGTTTACTTTTTCAGTTTCACCAGGGGATATATATAACAGGAAACAGGAACAGCAAAAACAGGTTAAGCCTTTCCTTCTCCAAAAAAAAGTCCAGCCCCATAATTTACACTGTAAAGTGCAGATAAAGATGGGTACACATAGGTCGAAATTCGTCTGGTTCAGTAGGGACCTGCTGAATTTTCATTGGTGTGTAGCCTTTCTTTCCAAACGTGACCGCTGGAAAACCTTTGATGAATGTCCATTTTACTGCAGTACTAATCAGTGTACTCTGACAGTGAAGAGCCCCCACTTTCAGAATACAATGTCCCGGTGGGGAAGGGGGGGGGGGGGGGATCCTGCATCCACCTTGCTTGAGTAGATGCAGCAATCTGTTAGTTTTTTCCATTCAGGCTGCAGGCCTGTGTACCCAACTTAAAGGCTAAGTTCACCTTTCTTTTTCTAAATTCTAGCTCCCCTATATTCCAATATATCATTAATATACCTTTGTAGCTGAAAAAAAAGCTTTCTTTGATTTCTAGAACAAGGCCTTACCTTAGCCCTTGGTGTGTTTCATAGAAAATTTCATGACCTCCTGGTATGTAGATCTGGGACTTGAAAGCCAGTAAGACACAAGAAGCAGTTCGCCAACTGACCTCATTAGTACGAACACCCTGCACCTATCAACTATGTTTGCAGGGCATCCCCAGAATCCCTTCAGTTGTGCATTTGCCTTTCTTTTCAATGTAGGTTGTCACAGCTGCAATGCTTGCATGGCATCCACAGCGTCCTCCAGACAGGGCCCGGGCTGCATGCCAAACTCTCTGCGGGCATATGCAGCCCTTGTTTTTGGACATCCCTGATGTAGTGCAAGGGCCTGCCTGATTATTATTATTACATAGCGCCAACAGTTTGCTCAGCACTTTACAATATAACAGGATTGGATACAGAGTGAATGGATAGATAGATGGATCCTCCTGTTCCATAGTTTACTTAAATCTAAAGAAAATTGTACAGAGAATGTACAATCAGACTGTATAGTGTATGGCCACCTTTATACATTTAAAATTAACTAGTCATGCTTTTAGTTCCATTAATTGTTAATGGCACCCCAAACACAGAAGCAAGCACACATTTTGCCATCTGAAAAAAACAAGCTTTAAATGGATCTAAACGCACAGTAAAAATGTGCATTGCAACATGCCAAACATCAGGCGCATGTTTGCCATGGGTTTTGTCGCACAACAAATGTGCTGCAAACACACCAAAAAGAGCGGTAAGGAAACACACGACTCTCCACTCAAAAATGAGTTCTGGAGCTTCTGTGGAGCATTTGTCATGCGTAGCGCAGTTCATTAAAGTGAATTGGCTGCCCTATGCATGATGAGCAGAAAAGCTCCGAAATGCTTCCCCCACTTAAAAAAAAAAACATTTACAGAGATATGATTAGGGCCTGCTAATTGAATGTCTCTGTCCACTCCATCCTATATGCATGTATAAAGGTGGCCATACATGATACAATCTCTATACACTTTCCTTTAGATTTACCACACCTATGGAATAGGAGGACCCACCTATCTATCCATTCATTCTTCATCCAGTCAAGCAGGCCCTTGCACTACATCATGTGTGTCCAACCCTTGGTCTGTGGGCCACATGAGGCCTCAGAGAGTTTAGCATGCGGCCCGGGCCCATCTGGAGGGACGCTGGGGATGCTGTGCAAACATAACTGCTGTGGAAGCCTACATTGACCAGTAGTGTTTCCTTAAAAGCTATCATTGACACTGTGGCCTTGTCATTTACTAAATTAAGGCTATGCTATCATGACCTGTTTGCAGTGCTTCACATAATTAGACAGACCTCTCAACTGTGCAATAAATCCATAAATATTGTATTTTCCTTTTTGTTAATACTTAAATAGACCAATGCAACAATTTCATAGACAGTTATAGACAAAAAAAAATTAAAAAAAGATAACAGGATTACAAAAGATAAACAATCCCTGAAAAACATGTCTTTTTTATCAGACAAAAGAAATACTGTATTTGCAACTTATTTTATAATTTTATAAAGGAGATCTTTCCAGCAATAACAAAAAACAGCAGGTGGTCCTTGACCTGATAAAGTCTGTAAACTGTTGATATATGTCAACAAGAATCAATATGTCAGGCATACCTGAGTGGAAAGGGAACTGTTGTTTTGCTTCTCCTGTATGAGCATCCCAAATGATTGTGGTCTACATAAAAAATGAAAAGAAAGTAAAAATCTTGTAACTGTTCAGCTGAGGGTGTGACTTTTTTCTACATACAGAAATAATGGCTGTCATTAAAATACTTTTACTGCAAACTGCTCTGCCTCTTTATTGATTTTTTCATCTGGTACATTTGTGACGTATACACTATAATTTGTTCAAACTGGAAAACGTATTTTTTTTACACATTAGTCACATCTTTTGTAAGTTTGCTCCTAAGCATTCCCCCTAACCATCTTGATTTTTGGGGGACTTTGCTGAGATTTAAATCTGGGTTCCTAGGGTCCTATGGCCCCACCCATATCCCAGCTCGGGGTGTTGGAATACTTGTTCCATCACCTGATCTAACTGGTGCCCATACAAGAGAGTAGGGAAAATCTATTCCAACTTCCTGTTTATGGATGTCACATGGGAAGTCTAGTATAGACTTTGTATAGTGTGCTCTGAGGTGCTGCACTGGTCTGAGGTCTGAAGATGTTGTGCAGGGGAGGCTGATATGAAGTCTGAAGAAGGACTTATCTAGGGACTGAAAATGAGTTTAAAGGAAATTGATTGGGGTCTGAAGGAGAGGAAGTAGATCTGAGGTCTGAAGGAGGTCTGAATGTTAAAACGTATCTGCACAAAACTTGTTGTTTTTAGTTTTCGATAGAATGGAGAAAGGCTAGAATCAATTACTTCTACTTGGGGCTCTGTAAGAGGTATGTTCCCTCACTTTCTATTCTTTGGACATATCTTTACCAGACAAAAAGTGAAAGGAAAAATCTGCCACAGGGTAACGACAATACAAAGTTCCCCTACTAAAATTTAAAAAAACAAAAATATTTTTACTTCTGTCTGTGTTGCTGTTATATATTTCTCCTACTTTCTGTCCTACAGACTACTTTTGCCAGACAGAAAGTTAAGGAATCTGTCTAACAGAACCTCCAATGACAGTGAAGCCTGACAGAAGTTCCAACCCTTTAACCCTTTCCCACTGTATCCAAACCTAAAAGTAAGGTTTTCCTCTATAAACACACTTTAGGGGCACTGATCTGGAGTCTGAATGTTCGGTAATTTGGAGTTTGAATGTTTAGGGTGGTAGATCTGGAGCAATTTTTCACCTAGTGACCACTGAAACCAGTGCCATTTTCCTCCAACTAACTTTGGGGCATTTTCTTCCTCTGACTGACCAAAACACCAGATGCTGAGCATTTTTAATTTTTTCCCACTGACCAACAATGCCAGGGATTTTTTTCTCACTAGGAGCAAAAAACAGAGCATTTTTTCTCACTGACTGCCAACAGCAAGGTATTTCTCCTAATGACCTATTAAGTTTTTTCCTCCCACTGACCACCAACAGTGGGGTCTTCTTATCTCCCACTGAATAACAATGCTGGCACAGTTTTCCCTTGCACTGACCAGCAATACAAGGGGCACTAACAACTGCACTCTTTATGTTACATACACTTGGGAAAAGTGTCTAATTTCCGAACAGTTGCTTGTTGCTGAGTAGTCCTCCAATGTTTTGATGACATTCTGCTTTATGGTAGACTGAGATAGAAAGCATACGTAATAGTAGATTTTTTTTTTATTACATTTTGTGCAGAGTTTTATGTGTCTGTAAACTGGACAGCTATAACCTTCTGAGAAGGAGGAGGGAACATTTGAAACTTCTCCACATTTCCAGACAGTTAATGTTTGAGTTTTTATTATGTTGCAAATACAGAAATATGATTGAAATGAACAAACAACATTTATTTTACTTTAGTTTCAATCTGTATTTGCTGACTCTTTAAGTGATTCTGAAGGTTGAAATAAAAAAAAAATGTATACTTACCTGATCTGTGTAATGATTTTTCACAAAGCAGCCTTGATCCTCTTCTTTTTGGGTCCCCCGCTGGTCCCCCCTCCTGGATCCTCCCACTTGCCAAGTGCCCCCAATAGCAAGCCTCTTATTATGGTTGCACTCAAGCAGGCTAGCTCTCTAGCCTCGCTCCCTGTGAATGGACATTGTCCATTCACCCTGCACACAGAAAGTGTGGCTTGGCCCCACCCTCTGCTCCCTCCTCATTGGCCCACAGGCTGTGATTGACAGCAGCAGGAGCCAATGTCTCCTGCTGCAGTGTGAGCCAAAGAGGAGTGAGAGACCTGGGAGAGCGGCAGCTCTCATGCACATCACTGAATTTAGATGGGGCTCAGGTAAGTATAAGGGGGATTGAGGGGAGAGCTGCACCCAGATGTTTTGGCTTATTGCATAGAATGCATTAAGGTAAAAAATCTTTCTGCCTTTATAACCACTTTAATCTCTTATGTAATTCTTGCAGTTTTGTTAAGTGTTTATTTCTATAATAAAGAAAGAAGAGTGATGTGGAGATGAGAACCAACAGAAAATTATTAAATCAGCTGCATTTTGCCTATGGGATTAATAGGTTTAAGAACAAATCGAAGAACATACCCTGAGTAGTTGCCATAAAAAGTATTTTGGGTATGTTTTGCTGGCATCTCAGATATGAAGTGTACATAGTGGAATTCTGCTAAATGTCACAGAATGTTTGGGGACAACATGTGAATGATTGTTAACCTCTCTTTGCGTGTTCTCTTTTTCCCTGGTCAGTCTAGTTTATTTGTTGTTTTTCTTCCTTTATTGTGTCTTTTCAGACAACCATGAATAACCAAACTCCTATATACATGCTGTAAAAAATTCTAAGAGTGATCAAAAGGCAAACATGTAGCTACCTGCTTTGTTGTTCCTAAAGTCATAATGTATTGAGGTGGGTGAGCTTCTAAGTAACCTCCTATCCTGATTCTAGTTGTATGGACCAAATTAAAAATATTGACTATATAAATGATGGGAATGATGTAAGTTCCCATGTCACATCTGTTTTACATGATCAACTACAAGCAGCTTCTTTCAGTCTGATAAAAGGAAAGATTAGTGATGAGAGGAGTGATTTTGGTTAAACTGAATTAGTCAGCCAGAAGGGGAAGGCTCAATCTGGCTCATTGAGCTGAGGCAATCTACTTTTTTCCCCCTTTGTTTATGGTAGCTCTTGTTGTTTCCCTCCTACATATATAAATTGAATAAATAATGGCAAACCTAAGCATTTACAACTGGTTTGAATCAGCGTATCTGTATATGTGATTGCTTACTTCCCTTTGAAAGAACAAGCCCAAGACTGTGGAGCAATAGTCCAGGGTGATTTCTGCACTTACATGGGGCATTACTAGTGTATTCAGGAAATGTGCTAGTGTTCCATAAATGCACCTTGTTTTCCACACTATGCAAAAGACTTGACTGTGGTATATGATAATTGGGCAATGTTGGGTTGCCCAAATGGGTCTGAAGGATTAGAAAGTGTGAGAAATATCTACTGATCCTCAGTAAAATGGAAAAATTAGCAAGAAAGGCAGTTCAACTATGCAACCATTTTATTAATGATGGGCATATTTGTAACCACAAATTTAGACTCATGATAGATCTGTTAATGTGTGGCCAGCTTGCACAGAGCACTATCCCTGAATCCTCTATGCTCCCTATAAATCTATTTTCTTGGTGTACATGTAATTAACATAATCATTAAATGGGGTGGATTTACTAAAGGCAAATTGACTGTGAACTTTGCAAATGCAGTTGCTCCAAAGCTTTAGTAAATGAGATGCAGCTCTGCTGACTTCCATCATCCAATCATGTACTAGCAAAAATACTGTTTTTTTTTATTTTTCTTTCAAGTGATCAAGTGATTGGATATTCTTTGCAAAGTGAAGCTTCATCTTATTTACTAAGCTCTAGAGCTGCTGCATGTGCTGAGTGCAACTGCATTTGCAAAATGCACAGTCTATTTGCCTTTAGTAAATCAACCACAATATGTGGCCAGCATTTCTAAGATAAATATTATATAATGAATTACATTATTTTCTGTTTTAACACATTATAGAGCATACCTTATCAACTCCCGCACTCAGTATATAGTTGCCTTTCTTGTTCCACTTCAGTGCAAAAATTGGACCTTTGTGCTGACCTAATGTGCTAGCAAGGTTGCCTGTAGGAAAAAAATGTAAAAACATTTATTCACATAGAAATTGCACACCAGTATAACAAATGTTTCACAACTATTTTTGAATCAGGGCAAGGATGCAAATAAATAAATTAATTAAAATACTTGTAGAATGTGAGCTCCAAGAGCAGGGCCCTCCTATTCCTTCTGTACTAAAATGTATTGTAATTGTACTGTCTCTCTTTATATTGTAAAGTGCTGTGCAAACTGTTGGCACTATATAAATCCTGTATAATAATATAATAATAATAATGATAATAATAATAGCTTGAACCTTGGCTACTGGCTGCTTCCTGAAAACATTGGTAATGCCACTGAACCTCACACCTTCCTCCTAGGAGTAAATACTGAGTATCCTAAATCCCAAGAAAATGCACTACTGCAGGATCGAGCAATGATGATGATTTTTTTTTTTCTTTGCTAAGACTTAACTTGACATGGTAAGGGAATGTTAACAGAGGTTCCTGACAATTTTATGCAAGGTATGCTTTAAATGCTTCCATTCCCTAAATCAGCTCTGAGACTACAAGAGTGTTCAAAAGTTCTACTTTAATTTAAGGCAACTCTAGTCTCAGAAAGCCACTGAGATTAATGGCAAAACTGTAGCATGCATAACCCACTCAGAACACTTCAGCAGCCTCAGAGATAATTTATCAGAGAAAAAGAACATTTATTGCCAGAGCCAGGCAACCCTGCTGTTCTTGACTCCCCTGCAAGTAAAGAATTTTCCACTTTGTAGACAAAATTTAAAAATCCTTCTCTAATTTGTCAGATTCACTCTGCCATACTTTTCCTATCTGTACTGCACTAAATGTGAATGAATAATGGTAAGTATGTTCAATCCCTATCACTCGATCATCTACAGCCTCTATGTTGGATGTTTTTTTTTTTACACATGCATATTAATAGTCTTGTTTTCTATTGTTCTCACCAATCTTTTCAATAACAAGCACAGCCGGATTCTTTAGAAAGAACAGAACTTGTTGAAATGAGTCAGTGGGCTGTTAACACGTTGTCATAAAAACCCACATTTTAATATATGCACAAGGTATAATACATATTTATAGTTCAACCAGAAATTGTTTGATAAACACATACATGGTTTTAAGAACTCCGACTTTATAGTTAGGATTTATTGATATTATAGTATGTACCTCTTCTGCGTGTACCTCTTGGTGTATGTCAATCTATCTTAAGTACCCCTGCCAGTAAATATAGTAGTACTGCTTGAGTTATCACTCTTTTCTATTTATAATTAAATGTATTTACCTGATATGCTTGTGTTCTTATTTGGTAATATTTAGAAATATAATAAGGAGGAAAAATTAAAGGGAAAATTTAGCCCTTGGTCATGTCAAATGCAGCTCTTTGTGTTCATGTACCAGTGGTTGAGAAACAGGTTTACAGACTGATTTAAAACGGCAGTGCAATTTTCAGTTACCATGTATGAAGTATAGCAACCCACAGCTACCAGATCTCATTTTACCACAGCAAAAATAAACATTAAACATGCCCAAAAGCCAACAGTGCCATTCCACATGCTGCTTCATCCAATGTACATCTGCAAAAAGGATGATGTTAGCTAACTATTGTTCCCCATATTGGGTTGGCGTTCTAAAAAAAAAAATGCTTAATAGCAGCTGTGAATTGCTCTGTAAAAATCCACTATACTTACTTTAACTTCCTTTATTCCTACTTTCCCAATGGCTATTGTCTGAGGTAACTAGAAATGCTGCAAGGTTATAGATACACAACCTTTACTTTTATTTATTTATTTCAGGTACTTATATAGCGCCATCAATTTACGTAGCGCTTTACAGATATAGATATATATTGTACATTCACATCAGTCCCTAACCCTCAAGGGGCGTACAATCTAAGGTCCCTAACTCAAATTCATACATACACATACTAGGGCCTATTTAGACAGGAGCCAATTAACCTACCAGCATGTCTTTGGAGTGTGAGAGGAAACCCACGCAGGAACAGGAAGAACATGCAAACTCCAGGCAGGTGGTGCCGTGGTTGAGATTCGAACCAACAACCCTAGTGCCGCCAGGCAGATGCACTAATCATTTAGCCACTGTGCTGCCCACTTTTTTGCAAATATGTCTCTGCACTATCTTTTAGCTGTAATATTAGCTAAATCAATAGGAAACTGTCAATGACAGTAGCCTAAAAACACAATTTAAATACTAAATACATAATAATAAATTTACCATCCTGCGTCCAAATTCTTGCAAAACCATCGTATGATCCTGTAGCCAAAAGTGTGCCTTCAGCCTGTGGGAGAGCAAATATTTAAAATAAACAAATTGTATTCAACCTTGTATCCTGAAGATTGAACACTCAGTTCAATATGTCTCTTTTTTCTGCAAACGTAATATAAAGCCCAGTCATTAAGGGGCACGTTTACAAAAATTTAAAGAATGACAAGCTGTTGAAAATGCATGGAAAAATTAAATACAGATCATGGCATTTTTATTCAGTTATAGTTATTAACCCTTATAAGAAAACGACTTACCTAATTGATAATGAATCCCCATCGTAAGAAAACTAAAATGCATTTGAGTGAGTCCACATACTGAGTTATTTTTATTTTAAAAAAAAAGGATTTTTTTATTTACTTTTTATGTGCTTGCTATTTCAGTTTTTACAACTGTATTATAAATTGATAAATAATCCATCTAGTGGTTTTGTATATATTATATTTACCTGCTATGTGCAATGGTTTTTGCACAGAGCAGTCCCGATCCACTTCTTTTTGGGTCTCTTGCTATGGGGGCACTCAAGCAGGTTCTAGTAAAATCAGTCAAAAAAGTATATGTTTTCCAAATCCTTTTTGGAAGCTAAACCAGGGAAATGCCTTTCCAGTTAGGTACAGTGCATGTCAATATATGACGTGAAGTGTCCTATTGGTTTCTTTAAAGTTGAACTCCAGGCAAACCATTAAAAAACACAGGTTAAATACATATATGGGGGTTGCTACTTTTGTTCATACAGTTCTGAAATTTATATAGCTCTGCTTCAGAGCCCTGTTGAGCAGGAGGGAGAACTAATTTCTCTATTAAAATTAAACTTACGCATATTGTCCTCCTTCAGCCTGTGACTGGGCAATGAAAGGAGAAGCAGCACACTAATGAGCTCAACTTTTGTCACTCTGCTGTCTCCTGCTATGAGCATGTGGATATATAAAAATGCACTCTGGATGTGCCTGATAGACTTGATTGCTGCATGAGGCATTAAATATACTATAAGATGCGCAATATATTGTATTATGAACAGTTTTTCACTAGCAGACCGAGAAAGCTAAAGCAAAAATTTGGTGCTAAATGTATAACTAAAGAAACAGTGAGCTGAGTGACTGCTATGGTGTCAGTAATAGGTCTGAAGCAGGGAAGCAGGGAAGCAGGGTTGGTGTTGGTTCACACATGTATGCAGAGGCCTGAGCTGCTAACCATGTTCTCTATAACAAAAGAGATGTCTGATACTTCTGTAATGCAAGGTGTGAATATATCATCTATCAAAACTGATCCACCAAAAACATACTGAATATAGTTTCAGACAGTTTCTTAGATCAGCACATAATATTAAAACTCAATGTCCAACCCACTATGAAAAGAATTAGCATTTGTGGCCTAACGTTGACACAGGATTTGGAGATATAATAACCTTAACTATGTTTTCTGAAACACCAGCCAATCTATATAACTCTTGGTTCCAGTACAAGATTGGCTTTTGAATCTAGAAAAGAACCCTCAAGTGGACCTTGGCCTTAAATGGACTCCTACAATGTAAGAAAGAATACATCACTATTATAGATTATTTTTGTATGCATAGTACAAACTGTGTGCTGCCACTGCAGCTTGCCTATTATTAGTCATTAATTGTGTTTTAGTATGCTCCTTTGTGCACTCCTTCTGTTTGCATGTTAGATGGCTTAGTTAGCCCCTAGTTAGACATCCCTTCCTCTCCATGCTCTAAAGTTACTTTCTTTTTACCCTCATTGTGCTAAGTGATCCTTTAGAGAGTCAGGAGGCTTTGTATTTAAAATGTTTTTATTTATAAGAAAGACAAGTAAACATCCTATGCTAAGCTTTGAATACACTAAATTTGATTCCACTCTGAGTCCTCTTGCCGAATTTTATTTTAAATCATTCATTTCATTTATTGCTAGGTCCTGTATACTCCACCAGTTGCTGCTAAGGAATATAACAATGATACATCATAAAAAATGTCAGATCTTTAAAAATAAACTATTTTAAAATATATTTTTAATCTAGGAGAATACACAATGGAACCAATCATCTTGGTTTAGAATAAACATCTTCTCTATAAGCAGCCTCAAGATATTGTTTACACAGTTAACATCTTGCTCCTTAGACATCCATTAGTATATAATGCATACATTATTCATATAAAGCATTATGATTTAATTCACAATGGTTGCAATATGCAAATAATTTTGCTTTGCAATGCTATTAAGCCTTTTTAAACAGGCTAAAGTAAACACTCTGCTCATGAAAATCAATATGTCCATGAAAATGTTGAGTACATATGTTCAATCGTTTTTGTAAGTTGAAGTAGGATATTAATGTTCTGAAAGTGCTAATTAGAAAAGGTAGGTAATTACACAATGAATTGTATTCATGTTTACCATTTAATGAATGCTAACTGTAAGTAACTTACATTCCAGTCCAATGAGGTCACATCTTTGTTGCTTGGAACATCTTGCCCACCTTCTCGTATACAGTGTCTTAAAACTAACTGAGTGGAATTACTACTGTTATTCTCATTCAAGTTCCATATTCTTGCCGTTGAGTCTCCTGACCTTGAAGTTTAAAAAAAAAATTATATATAATAATAATAAAGCAGAACAAAAGGCTCATTAGGACTGAATAGTAAATATTGTAGGTAGGTTTATGGCTAGTGTTCCAGTTCCAGCCTTGAATTTTCCCATCTAACCATTACTGGCTAGCCAGGTTTGCTAGAGTCAATGTCTATTCATGGTGATGTGAATTGTGTTGTGTGTTGCCATGCGTTGATGTGGAAAGATTTGTTTTAAATTGACTTGCATAGCACAATGCAGGGCAGTGTAAATACAGAACAAAGGACTTTTCAATGTCCATGCATTTTTCTATACTGGAAAATGCAGCAATGTTCTTGATAATGTGAACAAAATTCATGATAATGTAAACCTGTGGTCAGGCTATGGTTAATATTCTAAATAAGTAATGAATGAGCTTTTAAACAAGCCCTCAGTGACCTCTGACACAGCAGGCACTGTGGAGAAATTCATCCTCAAATTTCACAAGGGACGCACTGAACCTATTCAAGTTGGGTCTCAGAACTCTGCTTTTCCCACTTCCATAGCACCTGCTCTATGTGGCTATACATGTGGCTATGGTGTAGAAGGATCATGTGATAAGATTCCATCTTTTGAACTCTACTTCAATGCTTTCTCTTGCAATGACACAGGGACCAGAGGCTGGGACCACAATGTGCAGTAGGGGATACAAGCATTCAACATTTACAGAAGTGCCAGATGCAGAAGAATCTATCGCAGACATTAACCTCTAACGGTGGAAAGGTAAAAGAACAATGCACAAGAAAAAGAGAACAAATGTTCATATTTGTAAACTACAGAGTACTCTGATGCATCCCAGCACCCCCTGCACCTCCCATCTCCCTACAATTCTCTTGATGAATTTTATCCACAAATGCCCAGAGGTGACGAGGAGAGGGAAATAACATGTGGAAAAGATTATTAAATTTTTTTATATGGTTTGAAGGCTTGGGAACTGCATTCTCTAACCTGCTGCACTAAGCATTGGCCAGTGAATGTTATTATGGTAAATACAGTCTGTATGCAGATACCTAAATAACAACCTGTTGACCTTAAGACCTTTTTGCTGAACAGCAAACAGAAATGCATGTAGCATTCACTTCCCATTCCCTTCAAACCACACACTGCCTAGAGCACTCCTTTAACTAATATTGCTTTGATTTTACATAGCTGCTATCTGACTTACCCAGATGCTAGGAGATCACTGACTGGATTCCAGGCACAGATGAAAACTTCAGATTCATGTCCACGTAGCACCGTTGCTTTGTTAGGTGGAATTTCCACATCACCATCAATTTCCATTGGTTCTGCATGGTTATCTGCAAAACACATCAAAATCTAGTTATGCGTTCAATATCTTAAAATGGTTATTTAATGATACTGTCAAATGCTGGTAAGGAAGAGTCATTTGAAATTCTGTCCTGTATCTCTTTTTAATACAATGGACGCACTGAAGGTAAATTGAATTGTTAAAATTTCAATGAACTGGAATAAGCCCTTTATATTTAACATTCTTTATGGGAACTTCAAGTGTGATGACATTTGACAATGTAATTACATTTATAAACCAACTCTAAAAGGACAAAAACACTTAAGATTATGATTAATCAGAAATATGCAGCATCTTATGTGGACCGATGAATACTGCACTATTAAAATTCATTTAAAATTAAATTTGGTTTTCTCAGTTGCAATGCTCATGGCCTCCCAAAAAAAACGCTGTGATTGAGAATGTAAAAGTACTAAATAGAGGTAATAAATCATAACTGTCTGCAACCAAAAAGTCTTCATGTTACGGTGCCAAATGTGGGGGGGGGGGGGTGTGAGTGGGCAAGGCAGGAGATAGAAAGGTGTGGCTTAAAAAAGCAACAGCGAGTGGATAGGAAAGTAGGATGGAGATAGATGGATAGGTTTAAGAAGGCGAAGCAAAATTAAATAAAGGGGTAGGTGGTAAGGAAGGGGGGGTGAGAGCATGCACCCTCTCCCACAGTATCCTGTGTCTATATACTTATTTAGTGGGTAGATATCTACAAAACCCAGCGGCCTTAAATTCTCATGGCAATCTTCTAGCAATTAGAGGGTCACAGTCCATTATGAGTCCAGGGTAGTCAGCATGTCCTCATAGTAAGTCAAGAAAGTGATGGTTGCCCAAGGGAACCATGTGTTTCTCTTCTGTATTGTAGAAAATAGCAGTGAGGTCCTCCATTTGCCTCACATTTAATTTTGGATAATCATAAGTACAGTGGGGGGAACATATGACAGCGTCCATAGAGAAGGTAAACAAGCTTGTGACGCATTTAACAGGTGTACCATTAACTTTGATTTATATTGTTTCAGCCCTACCTGATTGATGTGAAAAGGGTAAATGAATGGGGTCTGTCCTAAATCCAATGAAGCCAGGTGGAGAATTACCGTTTGGACCTGCCTCCAGAAACAGCAAAGACAAGAGCAATGCCAGAAAATGTCATATAAACAAAATGGTGCAGCGCTAAAATAAATGAAACACTTATAAATGTGTTACCAAACAATACAATAAATGACCAGAAAAGAATGTCCAAAATATGAATAACAGGGACGCAAATAGTCCACTATGATGTGTCCCAAAAAGGAACTTGACCGATTAGTCCCAGTGATGTGATCAAATAGTGAGCAAACAATGATTGTGACTTCTGTGACTTCTGTGTTACTCCTCCACCATTATGCACTCACCAGAAGTAAGTAGCAACCCAGCATTGAATTAAATAAATATCGTCATTTCATTCAATCCTATCGCCCGTCACCGATCCATCCAGATATGCTTCAAAGAGTCATTTCATTCAATGCTGAGTTGCTACTTACTTCTGATGAGTGATAATGGTGGAGGAGTAACACGGAAGTCACAATCATTGTTTGTTCACTGTTTGATCACATCACTATCTGGGACTAATATTCGGTCAAGTTCTTTTTTGGGACATATCATAGTGGATTATTTGTGTCCCTGTTATTTACATTTTGGACATTCTTTGCTGGTCATTTATTGTATTATTTGGTAACACATTTATACGTGTTTCATATATTTTAGCACTGCACCATTTTGTTTATATGTCTGTATAGTGGGAGCAGATGGTTTGCCACATTGTGCCAGCTGCTTCCTTTATTATCATTTTCCTTTGCGCTCACTGTTAACATTTTTCATTGTTTATTTGCACAAACCCAGAAAATGTCAAAATTCTTTTGACATCTCCAGAATGTGTTAAGAATGTTGGGATAAAATTTATGGAGGTGTATCAGGGTTTCATACCAGTGGGATAAGTGTGTACTTCTGTTCTTGAAATTTGTTGGCTCTGGATGGCTTGTGTGTAAGCTTAATGGCATCCATTTACACAGGGAAAAGTGAGATTTGATGTTCTTACTGTGATTTATGCATAAATGTGGGGAAACATTACCCACTGGGGGATAACTTAGTACTCTCCATAAATGGGAGAGGAGATATAGGTACTCAAACTGAGTTGTTGCTCTAAAGAGTTTGTCACACTCCAGGATGGCTCTTAAAAAATGACATTATTGGTATGCAGCCTATATATTCATGGGAGAGGAGATCAATGTTTTGATTTCTGCAGAGATACCCAACCAGTTGTGGTTATAAAATGGGTAAATCTATATTTATCTACAGTCTTAAGGTACTGAGGTAATTGTTTTGTGCAACCACTGGAAAATCTGGGTCTGCCAACAGTGGTCATGGATGAAGGATGTGGAGAAAAAATAATTACCTTGTCTTAATATACATTAATACATGACATATGGCAGGTTAACGTTTGTATGGTGCTGCACCACAGTGGAATGCATAAGTGGGAGGGTGGTCTTAATGGTTGACTTCTAAAATCTGCAACAGTTTGTACTAAAATAATATGCATTAAAAAAAATTACACCTAAAGTACACAGAGATACTGTATGTTTATAAATGACCCTTACAGGCCCCACATTTAATCATAAAATTCAAAACACAATACTAAGTATATTGCTGTAAATCCCAACTACAGGCATAATTTTAATTTAGTTTTAGATAAAACAGGAAAGGAGCCTCAATCAGATGTATTGCTGTCTGTGTCCTGATTAGGTCCTTCACTTCTTGTCAGAACTGGAAATGATCAAAATTCTGGCTAAAGGTCACAAAGACAAATGCAAAAACACATTTTTAGTTGAGTGGGGAGGGCTTGGAACATATGAAAATGTTATAATTGCTGTCAATGCCTTCTTGCCATGCTTACAATTGTTCCCCTATTTCTTGACCCAGGTACAGTAAGAAATGGAGTCCCAAATGGGGTCACAGACAAAAAAAACAGCCTTTGTAAAGATGATAGCCAGCAAATCCTAGATTGTAAGCTCCAAGGAGCAGGGCCCTCAAATCCCTCTTGTATTGAACTGTATTGTTACTGTTGTCTCCTGTTATATTGTAAAGCGCTGAGCAAACTGTTGGCGCTATATAAATCCTGTATAATAATAATAAAAATAATAATAATAAATCCAAAAATGAAAAGGAAAGGTCACTTTAATTCCATAAAATATCTGATATTTTGGGAACGAGAAGGACCTCGTTCCCAAGGTAGTAAAACAGGGCATGCTCTGTTTCTGGTAAACTTAAGAAGAGGGTCCTTCATGTCTCCAAAACTTGGGTCTTAATGGAGCAACAGTATGTTATTTATGGAGTAACATGTTATTTCTTTAGGTGCAATTGCTATCATCTTTATTTGGATTTGCACAGTATCGTAAGCCTAGTACCCACTGTTTTTCATGGTTCAATAACAGTTAGTATAGCAAGGACTGACGACAGATTGTCATAAATCATAAATAGTAATGTTAACTTTTACCCCCATACTGCTTTTGCACTTTCTGTTTCTAAAAGCTGAGAGTCTACATTTTACATAAAATTTATAGAAAATGTAAAAAAAAAAAAAAAACTGATTCCAAGCTATGATAGATAAAAAATAAGTGTATGTATGGGTCTTAATCAATTGATTACATCCCTGCAAATAGTTCACTGAGGCTTTTTACAAATCAGTTTTTTACAGTATGCTTTTATGATAGCTGTGCCCTTGATGAAGTTTTATTCTCCTATGTTATGTGCATTTCAAAAGCGCTAACAGCAGTTAGACAGATCTGAAAAACATGAGAGAAAATAAACATTTTATTTTACATATGATGTGGCTTAGCTGGTGTACGTTCAAACATTAAGTGTAGCTTCAAGCAAAACACTTGTTTGTAAATTCTATAACTTTAGTAAATCAGGCCTAATGTGTGGATGCTCATAAAGTGGGTGTAATAAATTAAATGTGGAGGATTATGGCGACACATCTTTCAGGCAATACATATTGTAGGCATTTTGGAATAATGTACCTAGACAATGAATAATACCCTCTGAAAGAAAATAAAAATAATAAATATAAAAATATATGCAGGGTTTACCACTATAAAGAAGCTACAGCTATGAAACACAACAAAAAATATAACTATAGCAATATTAAAAAGAAATCCCATTTTGAAGCTCTGACAAAAATTTAAAGACATAAGAAAAAAACAAGTTACATTTTGAGAACCTGAGATGGATTTTTTTTTTTTAATTTGTGACTGAACTGAACACAACTTCACTTTTTTTTGTTAAACTGGCTGAAAATTGATGTTGTGGAGGGGTGGGGGCAACAGTGTATAATCTACATGACAGCTTATGAAGGTATTTCACATGGAGTGGAAACATTTTAAAACAGCAGGATAGTATCATAAGATTTGGTAACATTGGGCTCCATTCACAAAGCAGTATTTTAAATTTTAAATATAATACCTCACAATGTTTTAAAAAAAAAATTTAGCAATTCCCAAAAAAACGCTACCAAAATAAAGCATGTGGTATTTCATTGAAATATGCGCTATTTATCTCATGAAACCATGCGGTGTATTGTCTCATGCAATATCCAGTGGCATGGATATAGTGGAGAATAATTAGAACCCCTGCCAGTTTTTAATTGCTAATACAGAGGTAAAATGGTTTAAACCATAAAAATATGTCAACTCACCAAGTCAGTGAGGTCCCTGCAGCGTATGTATTAATATAAAAGAAAAAAAAGAGAAGCTGCTTTCACAGAGGACACACGTGGTGTATAAAAAAAAAAACTAAGTTAAATTAAGTAAATACAAAATATCTTTATAAATGTCAAATATTGATTGAAAATAGTATAAAAAAAATCACGCATGTATATAAATACCCTACTTCTACAACACTGTCTTTTTTTGATGGAAGAAGGTATTTATATATATATATTTATATATATATATGTGTGATTTTTTTATACTGTTTTCTTTGAAAATTTGACATTTAGAAAGATATTTTGTATTTACTTAAAGTATAACTAAAGGATTTTTCTTTAGTTGCATATACTGTAGGGTGGAGTGGTATTAGAACGCCTATTAGGATTTTTTGCACTATGTGCCCTATTGGGAAGATTCACCCTTTCTATTTGTCCTGTTTACTATAATTATGAAGGTAAATCTCCCCAATGGAACAAAAAACTGACAGGGGGTTTAACCCTCATTACCCTATCCAAAATAAAAAAAATAAAGTTCTGCCTATAGTTACACTATCAGGCAGCCTTTCTCAACCATTTCAACACAGAGGAACCTTTGAAATAACTTTCCAGTCTCAGGAAATCCTTGCTATAAATTACTCTATTACACTTGTGGTCACTGGAAAGACTTACCCCCCTTATAGAGAGCTAAAAAGATCAATGATGTCAGTGAGAACCTCTCAGTGGGAAGATATCGCTAAAAAATATTGTGAAAAAGTAAAGTATGTTTTAACAAGGGATTAGACCATTGTGATATGTCTGTACATTGTATTATGTTTGGAGTGATTGGGAGGTTTTTTGTAGGAAATGATGTATATGCTTGTATATTCACAAAAAAAGTCTCCAAAAATATGGTGAAATGACAAGAGAAAGTGTAGCTTTACCTCATGTACTAAGGTCTGGAGCAAATTCCACAGCATTAAGTAGCCCTAAAGTACAACTATAGGCAACACATTTTTTTCATTTTGGATAGAGTAAGGGAAGATTATAACCCCTGCCAGTTTTTTTTTTTTTTTTTTTCCATCTGTGTCCCCATTTGGAGATGTCCCCTCTATCACTTTTCTGGGGGCAACCCAAAATTTGGGATTTTTGTTTACTTTCACTTTCAATGATAATGGTAAACAGGACAAATAGATAGCATGAATCTCCCTAATGGGGACACAGACAGCAATGAAAACATGACAGGCATTCTAATCCACCTTCAAACTATCTAAAAGTAAAAGTTAGTTCTTCTTTACGTAATTCAACCCCAATGATTTCCATATCTAGGTTGAGAGAACTGATCCAAATACTGTTGAGAGAACTGATCCAAAAAGGCAGAAACTACTCAAAATAGCCTATTATATTTTTACATTTCTTAAATACCTCATGCTTGGACCACTACTTAAATACAGCATGAATGCAATTATTTATTTCCTTCTGTAAATTGACTTTAACGCCTTTTCATATGGTATATAATGAGCATTTTGAGTGTTTTTTTGGTAAATAACGCAACATGGTACAGTGAATCGACAGTTTCAGGATCACATGTGATATTTAGGCAAAATTTGTTCAGACACCTAAATATCGCATGCGATTTGCTTCTGTGAATGGAGCCCACAGGGGATAATTAATCTTGATTTCCAAAGGTGATTTTTCTGTTACACATCTGCTAATAACAACTTTAAGTGTATATAAAACCAAAACACTATTTAGTTTTGGATAGAGAGGTATAGGTTTAGGACCTCTGTCAGATTTTTAAAGTTGTTTGTGTCCCCACTAGGGAAATTTGGCCTCTGTATTTGTTCTGGTGACTATTACTGAAGGATAAAGCAGTTTCATTGTTACAAGAATGGGGGAAATCTTTCAGTGACACTTATTCTGGTGACAATTGTCTAAAAGGATATTTCACTCACTTTAAGGAGATTACCTCTCACTTTCTGTTGTATTTATGGGATAGGAAATAATGAGAAATCACCCATATGGGACACAGATGGCAAGAAAACAAACAAACTGATGGGTTTTACTTTCAAAATACTTTAAATCATTATATAACTCTTTTTAGTGAACTAAGTAATGATTCACATAGTTATTATTGAATCCTGGTACTCACAAACCACAGTTTTTGAATCGGTGTGTGTATGCATTAGAAAACCCAGGGACATTATTATTATTATAATAGAGGATTTATAAAGCGCAAACAGTTTACTCAGCGATTTACAATATAAAGGGGGACAATCCAGCAATAATACAGTTCAATACAAGTGGATTAGGAGGGCCCTGCCCCTGGGAACTTACAATCTAATATCACTTGTCAGAGGATGAACCGTGTAAGAACTGGCATAGCTGACAACACACATAGCTCTGCACTCAGCTGCATGGGAAGCCCTCTGGTCACTTTGGCCTCCGACCAGGTACATGACACTACTCTTTCTCAGTTTATGGTAACATTAACTGCTTTGGGGGTTCAGAACCAAATTTACTGAAATGGTCGTGCTAATGTGCATGGAATTGTGGGCAGACGTGGTATGCGGGTGCATGGGCATGTGTTTGCACACATGGGGCAATCACGCACACCACTGCACCATGGTGCATGCAAAGCATGACAGATTCTGATGCCCAATGACCTATTTAAAGACTGACCTCCTGTGCATGACCCAAGTGCTACCTCCTGACTCCGCTTCCTGCTCCACTCATCTGTCAAGATCAGCCTGTACAGCTAGAGTGTCACCTGCCCTGCTAAAATCTCTGCACAGTCAAGACTTCACCTGCACCTCTAAAGTGTCATTTGCCTAGCTGACATCGTTGTATGATCAAGTCTCCCTCGAATTCTTCATCTACTCTGATCTTCAGGCAACAAATCAGCTGGCAACCTCTGATTCTATGGTTGCAGCACTCCTTGTCTTCACTTCCAGGGATGCTCTGCACTCAGCCGCAAGTGAAGTCCTCTGGTCACTTTGGCCTTCGACCAGGTACGTAACACTACTTCTCAGTATATGGTAACATTAACTGTTTGTGGGGTTCAGAACAAAATTCATAATTTACTGAAATAGAGTAAAGTTACAATTTTGAAATACTAAATAATGTATAAGTGTATGTGTATATGACCCTTTTACCCATTACAGCTGTGCTTTTTTACCTGGATGTGGGGAATAGTCTATAAGTTTAGAAGGTGGTAAATTATCAGAAACTTTAGACTTTGAACTACTACTATTGAGGCAACAGGTACTGTATTTCCCTGAATCTTACTGGCAATGGTAGATGGCAGCTTACTCACTTATTGCATGTGCTCCATTCTCTTCACCATTCACAGTGGCTGCTCCATTCTTTGGTGTGGTCACCTGCTGGGTTGCAGGTGCTGCTGGGGCAGTGGTGACTGTCGCTGCACTTGGTGCAGATACTGCTGCAGCAGCTTGTTGCTGAGCCAACTTCTCTCTAAAGGCTTGTTGTCTAGTCTGTACAACATCTGGCATTACTGCATCAATTAAAGATAAGGATTCTATAGGCCGACCATCAAACACTGTGCCATCCTAAGAAAAATCAATAGACATGTTTATTATAAGTGCTAATTGCATAATATATTGTTAACTGCAGTAGAGTAATCAAGTAAATTAATTGATAAATTAGGATTAAAGGAATATAGCAATAGATTCAATGAAAAGGGTTAAAACAAACGCAAAATAATTGCATATTAAAATACAGTAGTGTATACAAGTTTTTTTAATTCAGCATTAAGGGATGAATCCACCCAAATATTATATTATAAATAGGTTCATTTGGTTGTCTGGCACAATAAAATGCTGGCTTCTGCTATCTCTAGCAGAGTGACCCCTTTACTAAAGTTCCTTGCTTGGTTCTTTTTTGTACTGGGTTAAGACTGGTTGTAGACTAACATTGACTATAACATATTAAGAGGCATCTTCTTTGAGGGTGTAACCACTTGTTTTTCCTTTTTTTTAATTACTTTGTTGTACATCTTTATATACCTCTTTGAAAACTCAATAAAAACATTGAGAATAAATTGGGTTGATAAATTGGGAATAAATTGGGTTTGGAATTTTACTTACACACTTCCTGTTACATTTCCATAATTTAAAATAAATAAAACAAAATTCAACAGGCAAGATGTGACTCCCTGATAGTGCCATAATAAATGTAAATGTTTGGGAGGTCACTCACATTAAACCTACCCCTGAATTTCCTAGGAGACATTAGAATCAAAGTGATTTATTTCTAGCATCTTACAAAAAATGAACAATCAGGTTTTGCAGAATAACTGACCCTTTGTTGCCTTATTTTGGCTAACAAAGGAATAAACTACCAAGCAAAATGCTAAATATCTTAAGCCAGCCAAAGATGTTGCGATTTTCTTCCATGTAACCACGGATTGCAGGAAAGAAAACTGTTTGATTCCCCCATCAACACAATCTGTGTTGATGGGGGAATCCCTTCAGTGGAGCTATTGTGTTCTCCCAGTGGGGGGAGCGGGGTTCGCAGTGATTATTGCTGGCAGCTATAACTGCTGTCAATAATCGCATGAAAAATCTGACAGGCTGGTTTTGCCCAAGTCGAACAACAATCAATTTTGGTAAAATAAGCCTGCCCATAGATGGTCCCTGCTGCACCGGCTGAGATTCAAATAATCTGTGGCCGGCTTTAGGTTCCACGCATGGTGTTAGCCCCAGATTTGCATAATATTCCTTATTTGTATACTAATTAATTTATGCTTGTAAAAATATATGTAAGTCAGCAATGTTCATTTTAGTCATCTACACACTTAAAATTATGGCAGACAGGTATGGTATCAGTGGTGCTTGGAAAACTCGAGGTGTTATGCCAGAAAGCTGGAAAATAATTTTGGCCTTTGAAAAATTAAAGTTTAGTATCTTATCTGATAATAATATACCCATTATATCTTTTTTGATTTTCAGTAAAATGTAAAGTAACCCATAGCAGCCTATAGGGCATAGTCGATAACTAGCTTACTCTATATTGCTCTATTCACAATATCATTAAACCAATTTTTGCTAAAGTGCCAAGAGTTTCAGACATGACTATTCTGAAATACAGAGTGGATAATGTATGGAGCTGATACAATCTCTGCAGCTGATCTAAATCTGTTTGAACATTAGAGTTGTACATGATGGAAACATTGTTTATTTTCGGTTGCGTTCATCAGAAAATCATATAGTTTTGTCATAATCGTTATGTTAGAATGATTCATTTTTGGAACGATTCGTTATTTCGGAAGAGTATATATTCGTTGTTCTAAACCGATTTGTATTTTCAGAAGTTCTGTTACTCTTTTGTTATTTCGGAAGATTGGCTATATTTATTTTACCGTAATCAGTTAATATGTATTCATTTGTTATGTTATTACGTTGAATTAATTTCCCCATTCCCAACTGACTTTGTTTGTTGGGCTACGCACATACAAATTAAACAAGTGGTCTCTGAAGTTCAACCCCAATACATAAAGAATCTTATTAGAATATTCATGCTATGTTCACTAGAATAAAAACAAATGGATCCAAACATTAAAAAAACTATCACATCATGTCATCTGAATAAAAAAAATGAATACAAATGAATTTGTTATTTTCGTTATAGTTTATTTTGGATTAGTTGGAATTTGTTACTATTGTGATTCAAAGATTTGGATAAATCCAAATCTCCGCTTGCAAAAAAATTCAGCCCAATTTCGAATTCATAACAAAATTAATCGCACATGTCTATTGGATATTTCTTTAGTGAAAAGTAATGTAATCCTATGATCAATACATCCTTTGGACATCAAATAAGCACTTCACCTTTCCCTTGTACAATATGAAAGTTAAGCTTTTTCAACAAATGTCAACAATTTTCTCATGTCTAAGGTCAGATTGTCTTTCATAGTGAAATATGGACACCTTACACATTGGACAAAGATCTCTTAGCTCAGTGGTCTATTGTAAAAGAGAATATGCTTGTTATTTAGTGTTTCAAATTAAACTTTTTTTAGTTTTAAAATTAAGAGGGATTAGAATACTAGATTAGAACTGTCAGGTTTTTATTGGTGATGTTGACTGTATCCCCATTACAGAGATTCACTATCCCAATAAATTTTGAGTGGTTACCAGAACAGCAATAGAGGGGAAATCTTCCAATGGGGACACTAGTTCTGGTGACCTTGATAATTACCAGGCATTTCTCTCACTTTGGAGTAATGTACTCTCATCAATGGGTCACAGATGGCAAAAAATAACTCAACAGACTTAAAACTCTTCCTTGTGTTATCCAAAATTAAAAAGTTTAAACCTTAGTTTAATTTTAATACTTTAGATATTTATGCTGCTAGTATGTGTTTTTATGCAGGATTTTGCTGTTGGAAGGTGTACTGAAATTAAATGACATACAATAATTAAGCCTTTCTGGGACTTCTGTACATTCATGTCATTTTCCACTTATTCTCTTTCTTAACTTTGGAAAGTAATTATAAAACTGCTATTAGAAAAGAAACACAGCATTGTAGACAAAAGGAGGCTGATAAGAAAATTACAGTACTGCTGTTGATAAGAAAACAGTATTCTTTCACAAACATACTTTTTTCCCATTAAATGTGATTATATCTTCATCCGTGAATCCAATTACATTACTTATTTAGCAAAAGACTAAAAATGTAGTTTAAGGAGCCTGCCTTTTAACCTGTTCACTACAAATCTATGCAGCTACTAGAAATCAAATTATTCTATTGTCTCTTTAAAAAGTTGATTTGAATAGAAACCAAAAACGTATTCCAAATGAATGAAAGGTTTTGAAGGAAGGGACATAATTACTCCACCATTGCAATAAGGTTTCTTGAAGCACAACAGAAAATCCTGACCAGAATGATGACATTTATTTGTAGAAGTGAAATTTTTATTTTACATGCTAATATTTGACTATAGCTTTGATTACGTTTAGACAATAGGGAATTATTTTAAACTGGAAAGTCAAAATGTATATTTTCAAAGGGTTTGCTGCACTGTGGGCCATGTAGCTTGTACTCATCATTCTAGGTTTCTTGATACACTGTTGGAAGATCCTGCATCACTAGTCACTGTGCTAATCATCTTAATAATAGTTATATTAAGCAACTGGTACCTACAATAGACAAGGTCCTCTTGGTTGTTTCCATCCCGATAGTACTGCTGAAGTGGAGTCTTTACTTGTTTTCAATTTTTACCTCTTTATTTTTTCTTGGTAATCCTGCTAGTAACACAATTCTTATGTAAGGGTGACAATGCTTATTCACCATACTGCATCTATGGAATAGCAATGTTTTTACAGAAAACGAAAAACTATGCTAATTTATAACAATGTAGAAGAAGTAGAGAGCACAGGAATCCATAAGAACACCCAATTTTGGGCAGGAGTGCATATTTTTTGCACTTCTCAAACAGTTGTAACAAAACACTTTCAATGGTATATTCAAAGTGTATTTAAGTGTATGTTAACAATACGTTTCCCTTATTTGCTTCAATATACCATTTAAAGCATTTTGTTATATATGTTCAACAAATGCTAAAAACATCTGTTCATCCAGCCAGAAATCTTGTTAGTTGATAACTTTTTTTTTCTCTCTTCCTCCATGAACAGTTATCAGTTAGCATTGCTCCCAGCTATCTCAAATGTTCTAGTATGTTACTAGTAGGATCACCAAGCGAAAATAAAGAAGAAAAAAGTTTGATGAAGAAAAAAATTTAGTCACCGCCAAGAAAGTTAAGCTGCAATATATTTAATGTCTGTTCTTGTGTTGATAGACACCTGTTAGAGTTATCATACTCTTTAATGGCTACAATACATTAATGGGCTATCCTCTCACTTAGAATAGTTTCACCTTCACTGAAATAGTTGCCCATCCCTTTTTAAATTACACATCACTAGAATCTTCTGTAATTTTTCTCCCAGAAGTGTTAAATGTGTTGTTAAAATGGAAACGCTAGCTAAGTGATGACATTTCTTTCTATATTTTGACACGCGGAACTGCTTGGTCTTGTAAATTAACCCCCCAAATAATTAAAAGCGGTACTTGATTTAGCTGTATTGCATACTATTCCCCACCTTCAATTTGTGAACTTAAAAGAAAAGCATAGGTTCTAAAAAAAATAAAGATTTATACTCACCTAGGTGGATGAAGCATTGGTTTGATGCTGCATCAGTCTCTTGCTCTAAGAGTGAGAACCAAGAAATCAAAGCCCACTGATCACACAGTTCCCCCTCTGCTCTGGGCAAAGAGCCATGACTGTCAGTCTCCAGCTCTCTGTTCTGCCCCTCCAGAGTTCACTGAAGCACTGGGCTGTGGAGGGGTAGGAGTAGTTGAATTAGGCCAGCTGCCAGTCTAGGTATCTGGGTAGATCCTGACCATATGGTAGGGAACTTTTCACAGCCTGGACCAGCTCTGTGGCATCAGAAAACGATCTGCACTCCTGTGATCCTCAGGAGAAGTTTAACCAATATACTGTAGCTTTGGCTATACTTCTTTGAGTTCACAACACATTACAGTTTCTCT